GTCTTTACACAAGGGTTATGTTTTCAACAAATGCATTTCAGCTTTCTTCAGCCACCCTCAGTAGAATTGCAGTTCCCTCCCCAGCACTGTCTCCCTTCCCTACTTGTTTTTCAAAGCACTCATCACCCTCTAACAGATTTTATATACTCAATTCTTTTGTTTGGTGTCTCTCCCTGACTCTTACCTCTTAGAATTGAAGCTGAACGAGAATAGGGCATCTGTCTCTATCCTCACCACCTAGAACAGTGTCTTGTATATAGTGGGCAGTTAAAAAATATTTGAATGTTGCCATTAGAAATACACACTTTTTACTACGAGAAAGTTGTGAAAAGAAACATACCAGCTGGAAATACTGACTATTTGGAGGGGTGGAGATAAGCAAAAAGGTGGAAATGGATTATGTTAAAACGTACAAAAATGTAAATATATGCCCTGTTTGCATGTGAGTGTACGTATGAAGGCGTAAACTATCAGGTCAGTCTCAGATGGTGAGATGAAGGTGACTGTTTACTTCTTTCAGATGTGTTGTATCTTAAGGTCTTGCAATAAACACTTTGTAATTGAGGAATAAAAGTGATTTTCTTTTTTTGTAGGGGAGTATTCACTTCTGCTTTCTTTCTTTCTGTAATGCTTGGGCAGTCTTCTGATTATGAATTTGCATTCCAGGTCCTTTAATGCCAGTAAGGGAGTACATACATTTAAACATTTGATTTAACCATTATGGTTAGGAAAAGGGATATTCTCTGTTATAAATCAGTGGGCATAGGTGGCTGTTAAAGTATGTAAACCACTAGCTATTCTGGAGAATGGGCAGGGGTGGGTACGGGGACACCATGGGTGAGGGGTCTGGGTGATAGCGGTGGCACCCCTGGAAATGGAGAGGCCTAGACGGATGGGTGAGACATTTAGGAGACAGGGCTGATAGTAGCTCTATGAGGTGAAGAAGAGGAAATCTGAGTTGTCAGCTCTTTGTTATATGTATTGTTGTATGTTTTTCCCAGTTTGCCTGTCTCTCTTCTGGTGGGGGGCAGTAGGGAGGAGGGAGTTTTTAAGCATCTCTTTGGTATATGGAATTCTTGTGTAGTAGTATTTGGCCATCTGTTTTTTTTTTTTTAATTCTTTTTTTAAGATTTTATTTATTTGAGAGAGAGAGAGAGAGGGAGTGCATGAGAGGGGAGAAGGTCAGAGAGAAGCAGACTCCCCGTGGAGCTGGGAGCCCGATCTGGGACTCGATCCCGGGATGCCAGGATTATGACCTGAGCCGAAGGCAGTGGTTTAACTAGCCCAGCCATCCTGAGGCCCCCCATCTGTTCTTTAATAGCCTCTAGGTTTCATATCACGTAGGGAGTTCTCCACTATGAAATTATAAAAATGACCCTCTGCCATTTTCTTCTAGTCTTTGTGGTTTTGGTTTTTCGTATTTATGTCTTTGGTCTCTGGAATTTATGTGCAGGGAAATGATATAGGGGCTCATCTGATTTTCAGAAGGGTAACCCAAACTTTTACCTGTTGTTGAGTACAACTGCGGAAAAGGGTGATACCTTCTGTGGGCCTGTTGCAAAGAATCAGACAATTTAAAGAATTACAGGCAAATCGAGTTTAGATTAGGGAAGTCCTTTGTTATCACTTATTAAGTTTGTAACTGGGGCCCCAGGGTCCATGAGCACCTGGCGCCGGGAGTCCCGAATGGACCAGGTTTGACCACTCACCACTAACAAAATACAAAGGCAGAGAAATGAGTGGTGGTTAAACGAGAAAGGAGCTTTTCAGTGCGGCCAACACTGGGAAGACAGCCTAGAGTAACTCTCAAAAGACGGTCTCCAAAGTGCTGAAAATACTTCAAGGTTCATGTAAGGAAAATGTGGGGCAAAGATTGGTTGATACATGCAAGTGGACAGGAAAGGCCACCCTTAGGTGACCTGGGGGCTCTCCGAAGGTCACCTGATTAACATAACAAAAGAGCCCTTCACCTCTCATCCCTTAGGAGGTTACAAGGATTTTCTTTCTTCTTTTACGAGTAACCCATAGGAGTCACCTAAGGGGTGGAGAATGAATCAGGAAGAGTAGCAGACAAATGGTGAGGGGTGGGTGTCAGGAGTCCAGACTTTGCTTTCAATTTTTCTCATGCTCTTTACTGAATTGTTTTGTTACTTTAGTTTCTCCCCTTCTGATCCTGAGCATCTGAATTCTGCTGGAAAGGGCACCTAGTCATGCTATCTGGTTTTTAAATTCACTTTGTCTTTATTGTTCTTTCAAATTACAGAAGTAATAGGCCCTTGGTGGAAAAACAATTTAAGTAGTCTAGCAGTATATAAAGTAAAAAAGAGATGCCCTCTGCTGATAGCTCCCTTTATTTCTTTTTCCAGAAAAAACCCACTGTTGTGCATCCTTCAAAAGACTTTATTTTTTATTTATAAACACCGCCCCCTTGGTAAAGGGAGATGATAACCCAAGCTGGCTTACTCATAGGATGCTCTCAGGCTGGCTAATACAATGTAAACCCAAGGAGAATAATCCTGAGGATTGTGTTTTTAGTTGAACAAATGGTTTTTTAAATTTTCATCTAAATTTTTGTATTCTGGCATAGAATTCTTAATAATAATACCTTGCTTTTTTTTTTTTTTTTTTTCTTCTTAGGGATTTTCTGTCTTATTAAGGAGTTTGAGTAGGGAAATGATAAATTGACATTCATTGTGTTTAATTCTGTGGATGGAAGTTCCCCGGGGAGGAGTTGAGGATGAGGATTTCCTGAGTTTTAGTCCAGGAGATCAGATGTGTGTTCAGCTTTGGGATACCCTCCGTGGTCTGGCTCACAGGCCCATTGGCCTCGTTTCTCAGCCTTTCTTACCCTCCAAGTACCTCTTCGAGTCCCACCCTAGTTCCTGACTACCATCGGCGTTTCAGTTTGTCCGCAGACACCCTGAGTGGCTGTTTGCTCTTTTTGCGGACTCTTTCCTGGCTCTCGGAGCTTACTCGTGCTCCAGATGTCTTATATGCTTCGCTTAAAACATGTGCGCCATTTTGTAATGGAGGGGGGTGTTCAAGAGAAAATGATCGAACCTTTGGAGGTTTGTATGGCTTTAAATGTGGGCAAGAGAAGACTTGCATGAGACATCAAGGATGTTAAAATATTTCTTTCCATGTCTTCGTGTGGAGTCAACAGTTAGCCCTCCCTAAGGAATTCCTAGTTGTCTCTTATCTTCAAGTAGTTAGGATGTGGTGCTATTGTATGGTAAAGCAATACTGATTTGAGATAGTATTTTTGTACTTCATACTTAGGGAGATGAAGACTGTGGTTTAATGAGATTGTAGTATTTTTAGGGATGGTAAGGCATTTTGTTATGGATTTGATCAGGTTAGATGGCTAAACATAGACCGATTCACCATAGACATGATTTAGCTAAATTAGAAATGTATTTTTGTTTTTGTTTATAATAAAAGGAAATAAGTATTTCTTGCAGACTTGCTTTTCTGGCCTGCTGGGAGCTGACGGCTCTCCACTTCCTTCCTGCTCATGGGAGTGCTGCTGTTTAGGGAAACCAGCTGTCAGTTTCAGGCTTTTGGCTTGGCTCTCCATGCTGGGTGTGATCCCGCTTGGGCAGGACTGTGGTTCCTGGTTCCCCATCACAGAGCAGAAGGCGCTGCCATTCTTTTGAACTTCCAAATGCCTCCGTGTGAGGGCGGCGGGGGCTGGGGCTCAAAGAATTGGGTACAGTGTGTTTGAATTTTTTGTCTAGTCCTCTGGAGAATTAAGTGAAGTAAATCATCCCAAGCCACAGAGTTTCTTGCAGAACGTAATTTAGCTCTTGACTTGTGGCACCCAGACCCTTGGCGAACTCCGTGAAACCACACTGTGGCCATCCCTGTATGGCTTCTTGTTGCACAGAAGAGCTGTAGACTAGAAGCACTGAGATGCCAGTTTTTATTTCGAGTTAGTGTGACCTGATAACTTTATTGATAAAATCCAATAAAAACAAATAGTTGTAAAAATGAAGTTAAGAAAGACCTACAAACAGCTGTCCAAAGTTTTTATTATTAGGTTTAGCAGACATAAAATTATTTTGTTAAATTGCTTTAAGCCTTTTAAAATTTCTTATGTTTAGTTTCTATAATTATCTCATGTGGGCTAGTACCAAATAATTCCCTGATTGGTGCTGGTTCTTGAACTACACTCTGAGGGATACTGCCCTACCTCTCCTCTTATCCTCTGCCAGAACTCCACATTCTTACATTTAGGATATAAGTGAAGCCAAGTGGTTTTGGGAAGGGCTATATCTTGAATCACATGTGAACACTGTCTCCAGTTAGGCTATAGGAAGCACAATTTAAAATTTAATTAACACTGTAAAAATTATTATTGAACAATCAAGAAGCCAGTCTGTGAATTACCCAGGCAACGGATCTGGATATCATATAGTATATGACTTTGAGAGATGTAGTAAAATTTCTGAAATCAGTTCCTTAAAAATCAGTATGTTACCAAGACATGTGAGGAAATAAATGTCTTTCCTTTGCCAACAATTCCCAGATAATGTGATTGCTTCTAAATAAACATAAGAATCAGAAAAACAAAAACCTAATCATCCTGGGTCATGTATTCCAGAAATCAGATTGTGCATTTAGCATTGCTAGATAGGATTATGCAATCATTGCTCAAATCGTAAACTTTCCAAAGTGGAAGTGCTTTTCTGAGGAGCAGAGACTCCTTCCTGCCCCCCACAAATTTACCATAGCTATGACCGAACAATGAATCTTTCTTTAGTTCTTTCCATAAACAAAATTGAGCAAATGACTATATTAGTGTCATCAAAACTTGGCTTGGCTTTGAAGTTGGGATGCTTAAATTATTGTGTTGGGATTTTAAATTTCACTTATTAATAGATTTTGTGATTTTATTTTACTTGTTAAATAATAAGTATAGTATTTTTATTAACTGCCATTATTTTTTAAAATTTGTGCTTCATTCTTTCTCTAAATTCTATTTAATGTTTACTTTTCAGGAATTACCCAACTCTGTCTTTCTGGTGATGGAGGTAAGTAGTATATGTGCTGTTTAATTTACTTCAAATTCCTACTGGTTAATATGTACTTTAAAGTGGACAGTAGATTGTTGTTTGAAATTTTGAATTAATAAAGTCCATTTAGTGACTTAGATTCTACTTTATAAGGAATATATAATTTAAAATCTTTATACCATAATTCTTGATTTTTCAGGCTAGATTTACATTATATAGAAACTATTTTTAATTAAAATTAGCTGATCATGATTTGAATTAATCTTGAATCAGTTTCCTTATTGTAATTATCTTTTCTTTTATGTATCAGTACTGCAATGGTGGAGACCTGGCAGATTATTTGCAAGGTAATTTTTGTCTGTCAGTGTTCAATAAAGATAGTGCTGTGGTCTGTTGAATCCTCAGAGTTACTTTCAAAATAATGCTGACCCTGTTTTCTGCACTTGTACAAAAATGTTCAATAAATATTTGTGTATCTGTTTAAGTGTGATTACTTTGCTGACCAAATGTTGTTTATTGTGGTTTTATTCCTAAACTTGTGGATAAGTGCTTCCCTCTCTCTGGTACTGTTGGAGAGATGAGTCCTCTCCCCAAGAGAGAAAAAGACCAGATGGTTCTCATCTTCAAGAGACTCTCCTGGGTTGCCAGCAGTGAATGTTTAGTCCCTTTCATTTCTTTCAAAATTTAAAAAAAAAATCACAATGCAAAAAATATACCTAAGAATGTGTTTATCAGTGTGAATCTTTCTTGTAAATTAAAAAGTTACAAAGGATTAATTAAAAGTAACATTGAAATTTTTCGTGGCAGAGGTAAGATTTTAGTACTAGATGTGCTTGAAATTCTGTATCCAGAATGTGTATGGGCAGGATGGATATAAGGCATTCAGATCAAAATGTGTCTGTCTCCCACAAGTATGTTTTAAAATTGTGTTATGTGAGGCCAGCTGTTGATCCCTTAAAATGCAAGGGAAATATGCAAAAAAATCTCAACCTCCAAACTGGTCATGGTGGTTGGTGGTGACCCTAAGACTTACAAAGGGTGTGGACAGTTTATGAGAACATAATTAAAATGTTCAATTTCACCTAGTAATTAGGGAGTGCAACTGAAAGTGAGCTTTGAAAAATCTTTGAAATATGAAACATCACTGACTTTTAAAAGCTGCACAAAGATTAATAGGAAGAGCCCTGGGAGTGTTGCCCCTGTGCCTGCTTGGTGCGGTGGTGGGTGAGGTGGCCCCTGGGCGCCAAGCTCCTTGCAGCCCATGGCGGCGGCGGGCCTGGGTGCATAGGGGACAGCGGCGACCCTAGGACGCCGACGACCATGGACGCCACACGGTCCACCGCCAGCAGAGCTCCCGCGGCCCGCATACATCAGCTGGCCGGCTGGGCACCGCAACTGCCACCTCGGAGAAGGAGCAGAGCGGGAGTCCTGTTCGTCCTGATGGGTGAGAGGCAGGCCTGAGGGGAGCAGAGACCCCACCTGGTCCCGCGCGCTCCTGCCCTGAAGGGACCGATGCTCCATGGCTCCTGCTTACCCGGGCCAGTCCCGCCTGCCCTGCCCACTGTGGGCCCTTCGTAGTAGCTGAGCAAGAGCGGCAGGACCCCTCCGGAGCCAGCATGCCTTAGGGAGGTACTGGGGACAGAGACAGTGTTTGGAAGCTCGGTTTTTGGCTGATTGTTGCGGAAGGAGAGGAGGGAGTGAGTGACTGAAGGAAGGAAGGGAAGGAAGGAGAAGAAGGAAAGGAATGAAGGAAGGAAATTGGTATCCCTGCCTCCATTTAAAAAAAAACATAAATAATGGAAGCCCTGCCTGAGTCCTTCCCTAGTCCCACTCCCGTCCTTACTCCCTTACCTTGAATTTGGGAGTTTATTGCATGTGTAGTTTTGTGTTTTTTCCAACTAAGATTCTTTTTTTTAATCCTTATTTTATATATATCCCCCAAATGTCAGTTGCTAGTAGATAGAATGCGGTGAGACAGGCACTTTCATTGACCATTTGCGGAAAGAAGTTCAAGCTAGAAAACACCCTGCTTCTGCCTGCCCAGAGAAAATCTCAAGTTCCTTGCCGGTCTTAGTGATCCGGGGTAAAAGCACCTTCCACCGGGGTCAGATGGAGTGGCTCCCTATCAGTTCGGTGCCCTCATTAGAGTATCAGTTTCCCTCAGTAACAGAAGTCCTCCTCGCTGATGCAGGCGCTGCTGCTGGTGTCGCGGACTTAGGTTAGCTTCCGCAGCAGTTTCCTGCGTTATGTTGAGCTCCTATTTGATATTACAGAGCAAGAGTGTTGGAACAGGAGACCCGTGAGTGAGGCCTTCACGAGCTTGAGTGTTGGAGTCAGACAAGCTTGTTTACAGCAGGGCCCCCTTCACAGCGTTTGACTGCTATGGTTTTGTTCAAGTCCTTGATCCGCTCCCTGGTCCCTCTCTGCCACAGTCCTTAAAGGAATCCCTTGTTGTTTGAAAACACTTGTAAAGACATAGAAAAGAAATCCAGACCTCAAGGAATTTTCCAGAGTTAAACCACCCAGTAAGATAGCCACCAACCTCATGGGGCTACAGAGCTCTTATTAAAGTGTGGGCTAGTCTGAAGACAGTGTGCAAATGTGAATGTATTTGATTTTGAACATTTCAATGAAGAAAGCAATAATATCTCACTGAGGATTTTATGTTGATTACAAGTGAAATTGTTTTGGGTATATTAGATTAAATATATGTTATGTAAACCTGTTTCTTTTTAGTTTTTAAAATGTGGCTACTAGAAAATTTGCTTTGATAAGTAAAATGCCATTCACATTTTCAAAAGACAGAAAGCAGATTCTATGGACTGTAAGTTAAAAACATTTTAAATTAATTAGCAAGTCGTACTTTAACATGCATTCTGGCAGGATTCATTGGGTGTGGCAGCTGTGCTGAGTCTCCTCCCTCTGGGCTAACTTGCTCAAGAATTTATTTATTTGGAACAGTTTTGATGTTGGCCGTGCCTTTGAAATACTTAGTTTTTAACATGCGAAATTCAGTTTATGGGGTTGTGTTGAGAAGTATGCATTCCATGTTCATAGAACTATGTGAATGTTTACTATAGTTTGTGTTCAAAAACAGCTTA